AAGACAAAGGACATGCGTCCTTTTCCATACAACACGCAGCACCACCCTGAGGGCAGAACAGGGTCTCTGTGCTCCCCCACTTGAGGCGCCTAGGTCAGCAGGCACAGGGGCACAAGGCTCCTCCGAACATGGTTCTCACTGTTTCTCAGCGAGCATCAGGTGGGTGGCATGGTGGAACGCAATATAAACGCCTGCATAGGCAGGCTGGTCCCGTTAAACACAGTGCCTCTTGTTCTGGAACATCTTGTTATGCATTTGGCTATAATACATTCTGCAAATGAAGGCAAAAGAGAATTGAATGACCCTTGTTGAGAAGAAAAAAAGAAAGAAGAATAGTAAGGACTGAGGGGTATTGGTGGAAATTTTTAGAAATAGGAATAGTCAAAGTTGATATGAAGGAGAAGAGGTAAAAGTCCCCCTACTCTCAACTCTGCCAATTTGTCCCAGAACTACACAATCCACACGAAGTCTGGGTCAAAGCTGGAACTGGCGGCACATCGCTGTAACCCCAGCACTCTGGGAGGCTTTAGCAAGAGAACCACAAGTTCAAACCCAGCTTGGACATTATAACAACTTAGCAAGGCCTTGTTTTGCAATTTAAAAAAAAAAAAATTGTTTTAAGGGCTGGGAAAATAGTGCTTAGTACAAAGGCCCTGTGTTCAATCTCCAGGACCACTGTGCACCACCCCCCCAAAAAAAATCTATGTCAGAAATGAGGCAGTTTGGAAGGACATTAAGAAAGAGGACCATCTGGACTGAAGGACCAAAGTATAGGCACTTCAATATCCACAAAATGTAATAATTTACTTGGGAATTTCAAGTCTCCAATAATTTATATAAATTTGCAGTAAGTGTTTGGGCTTTGAGTAAATAATGAAATGTGATTTCCACCAATCATAACTAGCTCCTAAGAGCAGAGATTTTTTTACATAAACATGACTTACTTACTGACAGTACACTTCAACCCACAGAATCATCCTCTCAATTTTTACCGCAGGAACACTATTGAGAAGTCATCAACCACCACCAGAAGTCGAACAGCCAAGGACAAAGGACACATTCCATTAACTTTTGCCAAAACCAACGGTACCCACTGCTCCATTCTAGGCCTAGGTTATCCCCAAGTGATAAATTTACAGAAACATATATAACGCCTGGCTTTCAGCAGACAAGCATGATCTCCATAAGTGCAGTTCTATCCCCATTTGCTAGCTACTCAAAGGCTCAGAATAGCTCTCTACTAACCAAACCCTGCTGGCTTATGATTACAGATCACAGAAAATCAGCTTGTGTTTTCAAACTCATTATCATTTTCTACTAAGGACAGCCTTTTCTAACAGATTTTTGTTTTGGCTTTTCATTCGTTTCTTTCTCTCTTTCGTTCATGGGGATTCCTCAGCCCTTTTATTTTGAGAAGGTTCTTGCTAACTTGCCTAGGATGGCCTTGAACCTGCAATCCTCCTGCAGCATCAGGAGCAAAGTGCGCATCGCCATATCTAGCTATAACAGCTCTTTCTGAGTCACCAAATTAGAAATCTGAGTTTGTGCTAAACGAATTATGTGTTTTTTACTGTATCTGTGAATACATCACAGTATGCGCAAGTCCTCTGTGCAAATCCTGTATGCTGCGCCACGTTCACTCATTCATGCCGCACTACACACAGATACTTTACCAGGGCCTTTTACACACTCAAGTCAATCCTACATGACAGGTACAACAGGTGGCATCCGTCTCACCCATGCCTCACCTAGGAAAATGTGCCGGCATTTTACAACAGTTATAAACAGCCTAGCTCATCACCACTTGTGAGTAATGCCTTTTTCATAGCTACCATGTAGAAACTAAAAGGGCAAATAATTAAGATTAACAAATACAGGCACCCTTAAAGCTGAAAATCTGTTTTATGCAACTCATAATCCACCCATTGCATTAGTCTTGACCAAAACACATAAATGTATGCCCAGTGCACAGTTTTTCCAGGGATTAAAACTTATATACATATAATACAGTAAATTCATAATAAAGTTATCTAAAGCCTCACACTTGGAGAACAAAATGTGTTTCAAATAATAAGTTACCAAAATCTGGAAGAAAATGTGAACAGAACGAACAATAATGTAAAGGAATTTCTTAACTGAGAATAGCCAATATAATACTAATATTGAGGTTACAATTTAAGAAAGCATGGCATACAGTAGATTCCAATGTGTTCCCATATCATTTATTAACCTGTACTCTCTTAGTAGGCAGACGCTTCCCCCTCCCTCGGCCCTCCAAAGATACCCTCATCCTAATCCCTGAAATCCGTGAATGTTAACTTATATGAAAAAGAATTTGCAGATTGCTTGTCCTGCAATGTAGAGACTACATACGAGGACTGAAGTGAGGCCTGTAGGTGCAGTCTTGCCCCTAGGTGACGGCAGGAAACAGGACCATGCCTGTACAGATGCAAAGAAGTGAATCCAGCCGACAATCTCAAACAGATGGACTCTTCCCCAGTCTCAGTAAGGAACAGAGCCCTGCACACACCTTGAATTTTGAAAGGTGAGACTTATGGGGGCTGTGAGTCTACAGCACTACGAGATATGCAGTGACTTCTGTTTATATCAGTACTAATTTGCTACAACAGCAACAGAAAATTAATCTACTCTCAGATTAGCATCACCTTGGCCAAAAGGAAGGACACTGTAGAGACACCACCAAAAAGAAAAAGAATCACAAACGCATGCTATTAAGAGCATTTAAAATTAGCTAGCCAAAATTAATTAATTAATTAATTAATAATTTTTTTAAAAAAATTAGCTGACCAAAACTTCATTGTACCACTGAATATTATCTATGTTCTAAAATAAAATATCCACACTCGGGAGGCTGAGGCAGGAGGATTGTTGTGAGTCTGAGACCAACCTGGGCTCCAAAGTGAGTTCAAGACCAGCCTGAACTACATAGTGAGACCCTGTCTCAAAAAGACAAAAAATAAAATAAAATATCCTGAACCACACAGAGAGTTATATTTTTTACTAAACTATTTTAGTAGATACTCACACACTGATGTTTCTTCCCTCACAACAAATCTTTAAGACAGAGAGGTATTTATAACATATACGAAGAGCGAACTTTCTGCTGTGACATGGCTAGCACCAGTAGGAAAACTGAGCCTCAGATCCTGTCTACCTCACCCCAGGGCACCACTTCCCAACCCCACAGTTAGGACAGACTCTCTCAGCAGAACTGTCAGAGAGGACCACCACTCGCCTCTCCTCCTCGGTCACACCCACTCTACTTGCACAAAGCTCCAGGCTTCTCTCTAAGGCTAAAATGTCCTTTTTGACCAATACCACAAACTCACTATGAAAGTTATATAGCAAACAGGCAATGAGTAATTTTTCCAGTAACTCTGAGTTGTTAGGATAATTTCCTTATTATGTTAATGATTCAAGATGCAAACCATAAAATAACACCTTGTTGTAACCTTGACAACGGTGGCAAACCTATGGCAAAGCTGCTGCAGCGGGCACGCACTGCTCTGTCAGCATGCAAGCCAAGGTGCCCTTGCGTTCCTCCAGCAGCAGAAACTTCAGGTTTAACCGTAGTGTTGACACTTTGCGATAAGTAAGTGGGCTTGGGGTTGCAGTTTGAGCACTTGGTCTCTAAAAACTTCACTATCTTGATAAGGGCACTGTTTCAATACAGATGCAAGTACTACATTTCCGCCGAAGCACTGCAGTAGCTGCCAAGGTACAGTACATACACAGAGCTTTCTATTTTTCAGTAGACTTATAATACACTGGATGTTTAATGGGAAGAGGTATTTCGTTCTGTTTGTTGCTGAATTACCCCTCATAAATAGACATTCAGAATAGAAAATGTCTCATAGGAGGGGCTTTAGTTTATGTCAAAAACTCATTTAAATACTTCCTGAACTGCCAAAGGGCTATAATATTTATATTTTAATATACTGTACAATTTTCTAAACACACACATAAATCAAACCTAGTTACCGGGCTGGGGATATAGCGCAGTGGTATAAGCGCCTGCCTGGCAAGCGCAAGGTCCTGAGTTCGATTCCCAGTACCAAAAAAAAAAAACAACCTAGTTACCATCCTTGAATATTGTACCTTCACCCAATAGCTCCACATGCAAGTTTATCAATGTAGGATGAATAATCATATTGAGTTGTACCACACAGTAGCCAAGATAGGGCTGTATAAGCTTTATTTATCATTTTTCACTGAGTCTATGTCAACTTTATACACTCTGTAAACCAGTTTCATTTAAAAGCTGCCCTCTGCCAGCCTGTACCTTTGCCTTAAAAGCCACAGGAAAGGAAGTAAACCTAATAGAAACCACCATCACTTTGAAGATATCCTCCATTCAACACAGCAGGGAACAAGTAATTACATTTAATAGAAGCTGTTACTTGTGAATAAAAATACACAGTATGTGAACTAAATTAAATATACTGGGCAAGATATACAAAATGTTACACCACATTTAGTGAAAATATATTTTTAAATATGCTGTACATTATTGCTTTCAAAACACTCATTTCTGCACAAAAGGCAGTTTTAATCATCTCTTCTTACCATCCACCTTCAACCACTTGTCACAACCTCACTGGTGACTTCCTGCTCTACATTGTTTTCTAAACCATGGACTAAACTCTAATAAGGAAAAATCCAAGTGTATCTAGTATGGAGCTTTAGAAAATCTTGCAGAAAACCTGATGGCCTTAAAAGAGAAAGTAAATATACATTGCAAAAAATTACCTATCAGGATAAATTGTTCCATATTTAATCTCAAAACAGAAAATTGTAGCTACAAGTGGTAATTCAGCCTATGCAAAATAAAAGTGTCTAGTCTGAAGCAAATGACTCTAGTCAGAGGCACAGAGTGTGAATGACGAAAAAAAATAAATGCTACACATGATCTTAGGCTTCCCACTACATTAACAAGAACATGCATTTAATTTATGCTTTATTTTTGAGGCATAACTTACCAATTTAGCAACTTTTCCATAGTCAATCCATCTGACAGTAGCAAAATTTGTAGATTCTGCACAGTTGAAACCATGATTGAAACCAGCATGGTAGCCATATGGGAAAGTGATCATAAATTCTCCAGCCTCCTGGGTGATCTGCGGGGTAGAAATATGTCATATTCTCCAGTAATAAAACTTCTCAAATTGTAAATACAATTAAACTATAAAAAAGAAAAAAATGTCGTTATCAGAGCTATACCAATTTAAAAGAAGTTTCTCCAAATTCTTTACTTGATCCATCCGTACTGTTGTTTCAGGAAACTCTGAAAGAAATTTTCTAAACGGGATGTGACCTTGTGACTACTCTAACATATCACATTTTATTTGAAAATGTCTTTTAAGTTACACAAACTAATATGTTCATATTAGCAATCAATGTATGTAATACTTAAATAATTTGCATTGCTGTATTCTTACATTAAAAAGATGTAACAACTGGCACAGTTGATGTTGCAAGTTATGGAAAACGACAATGCATACTAGATAGGCTATATTATGAATTCTTGTTGGTAGAGTTGTTAGTATTCACCAATTCTTTCTTAAAACTTACAAAATATTCAATTAATTGTATTCTATTTAATAGTAAAACTTCTAAGCAAAGAACTATTCAAAACATGTATACAGGGGCTTGGGATTTAGCTCAGCGGCAAAAGCACCTGCCTGGCAAGCGCAAGGTCGTGAGTTCAGTTCCCGGTACCGGAGAAAAACCAAAAAAAAAAAAAAAACAAACAAACAAACATGTATACATTCATTAAGTGCAGTAATTAAAATAACCTGTATAAATGTCAGGAGCCTAAAAGCAAACACAAAAAATGTATTTATTCTGCTCCTACTTTTACATTAAAGCATTTTGTTTTCTTATAGTCACCAAAGCAAACAAAATATAAGTTACAGAGAAAGGGGAAAGCAAAAAAATCTTAGTGTTACTTGTTTAAAAAAAAAAAAATTATTCGCCAGGCGTGGTGGCGCACGTCTATAATCCCAGCACTCAGGAAGCTAAGTCAGGAGGATCACTGCAAGTTCAAGGCCAGCCTGGGCTACATGAGTGAATTCAAGGCCAGCCTGAACTGCATAGTGAGAGCCTGCCTCAAAAAGACATAAATAAATAAATAAATAAATAAATAAATAAATAAATAAATAAATAAATAAAAATAAATATAAAAGTAAATAAATAATTCAGTATCCGATTATAAACTTATTCCTTACTTTGTCAAATGGAACAATGGTATTTGTTTTCTATTATGTGACCTTAAAAGGTTTCTAACATAGCACTCAACAGGGTGGAGCCCTTCATATTTTTAAATTCTTTGCATTGGCACCAAGTAATACATGCAGTATTTATACAATTCCACAATGCACCAAAGTTCATCCCTGACAAATATTTTTAAAATATTCAACAAATACTATTTACTTACATTGAAAACCTATATTCTCTACTACTTCTGATGACAAAATTTTAAATTCACACGTTTCATTATCCTACTGATACAAGAGGTGTTTATTTACATACAGTAACAATACTCAGATAATAAATAAATGTCTAGTTTGATCAACACTGACAAATGCACACAACCATGTAACCCATACACCTGTCACTTCATCGTACCAGGAAATACCTAGCGCACTACCCAATCCCACCCCAGTAACAATCACTGTTCTGACTCCTTTCACTGTTAGTTACCTTTGCTGCCCTAGAACTTCATATAAAAGAAATGCAATTTCCTTTTCCGCTGTAAATTTTCCAAATGCCTCCATTCTGTTGCATGTAATTGAACAGCTCATTCTTAATTATTGATACTACAGTCTATGAATATACCACATTTTGTCCATCTAGTTATCTGTTGACCCACATCTGACCTGCCCAATATTTTCTTCACAGAAATAAACATATACTTAATCCCAATAAACCTCTGGTATATGACTTTTAACTAGGAATTTCTCTAAAACCTGACATAAATAAATTTCTTAAAAGCAGAACAAAAAAAGCAGAAGGAAGAATTAAAATAAAGCATCCCCTATGTACTGTCACTAACCCAGAAATCAGGATCTCTCTCTCTCTCTACTGATCCAGCAAAGCAATAGATTTGTGTATGTCTTATATTTCGTTTTTTTTCTCTCCTGCCCTCCCCTCCCTTCTCATATCGGGGATTGAACCCAGGGCTTATACACTGATCCCTGGCCCTTTTTTAATTTTGAGGTACACCCTTGCAAAGTCCCTAAGTTACCCAAGCTGGCCTCAGCTCTGTATTCCTTTTCTTTTTCAGCCTCCCAGAGTTTCAGAATTACAGATACACATCACCACACCTATCAGAACTGAGTATTTTTTCTAGAGAAATATAAATTTCACATATTCCACCACAACCTTTCCTAGATTATAACTGCCTTTACTGTTTTACTTGTCATTAACTCGTACTCCGTGGTCAACACCCCACATACTTTTGTTGGCCTGACTATAAATGATCTTAAGAATATACTCATGAATACTTAAAGAATTTTACCACCAGAATAGATGTAAAATATCTACATGGTTCTCCCAGCCCTGTACAACAATCATGGGCAAGAAAAAAACTCAAAGGAACAAAGTAAGCAAGAATGATGTTCAGGATGTAAGACTGCCAAAACTCCAGTAGACACCCACTGTTCTCCATTTTGTTTAGGAAAAAATGATTAAAGTAATATAATCTGTCATCGTGTTAACAAGAATAAAATGACTTCGCCATGTTGCTCTCAATGTCAAGAGACTTCCCTTGTAAAGTAACAAGAGTGCCCCATCTGTATATTGAACCAGAATAAAAGGCTCTTGTGGCATTTCAGCCCTAGAATGTTGGGAGTGAGTACGTGGGCATAGGTACATGTTTAAACACACAGGCGGCATGCTGCAGAAATACAGGTGCATATTTGCAGATGACATGATACTTTACATGGAAGATCCCAAAAACTCCACAAGAAGACTCCTTGAATTAATCAACAAATTCAGCAGTGTAGCTGG